CTTTGAGTACGCGGCCCTTGAGGATCGTTGAGGCTGCGTACTTTAAGGCTGCAGACCCTGAATTGGGATACAGCCCTAGAGTTTCTCACCCCTGATCTAAACTAACAGCTGGGAAACAAAGTCATTAACATCTATCAGTATTGAAAGACAGAGCCTTCTCAGGAGTTAAAGGATTACCAAAATGATTCTATTATTGTGTCAACAACTGATCCATGACGTGTCAAACGAAACCAGAACAACACGTGAAGAACTGTAGCCTCAACTAAGGTCAGTGTTCATATTTCAACAGTATAAAGAGACTGGGCAAAAATGGCATCCATAGGAGAGTTTCAAGGTGAAAACCACTGCTGACTAAAAAGAACACAAAAGCTCATCTCATTCTTTTCAAAACAACATCATGTTGATCCAAGACATCGGGGGATCAACATGTTCTGTGCACTGACGGGACAAGTAGACCAGAGCATCAAGTTCACTCCCTGAAGCACCAGAAAGTTCACCTCTGAATGACTCAAAAAAAAGAAAGAAAAAGAAAGAGTGACCTAATCAAAAGTGGGGACTGATTGAGTTGTTTTGACATGTTTTAAACATGACATCAGTGCTTTAAAATTGTTGTTGTTGAATTTATACCGTTCTACAAAGGGTGGGCCCAAAAGACTTACCATTATTGCAAATACTTGATTGCAGTTCTTGCCGCCAAGGATGGCATGGTGGTTAGCACTGTTGCTGGACAGAAGAAGATCCTGAGTTCATTTCTATCATCAGACCAGGGTCTGTCTTTCTTTCTTTGGAGTTTGCATGTTCTCACCGTGTTTGTGTGGGTTCTCCCCAGGTACTTCAGTTTCTTCCCACAGTCCAAAGACATGCAGTTAGTGGGGATAGGTTAATTGATCAATCTAAATTGCCCATAGGTGTGAATGTGAGTGCAAATGGTTGTCTCTCTCTGTGTGTTAGCCCTGCAACAGACTGGCGACCTGTCCAGGGTGTACCCTGCCTTTTGCCGTATGACAGCTGAGATAGGCTCAAGCGCCCCTCGTGACCCTGAAAAGGGATAAGTGGAAGCGGATGGATGGATCAGGTATGTGTGGGTAGAGATTTTTAAAAACTTATATCTAATAATATGTGTAATATAAAAATCTGTACATACATAAGCATCACTGGCTGATGTAGATGAGAGGAGTTTTTATTATCTAACATTTTAAATCTATGGCTATCCGGTTATTTCATAAGTTAAATAAATAAATAAAACCAAAGTCAGCAAAACTGATGAAGTGTTTTATGACCACCTGTCAAATACAGTAAAACAAGACTAAATAAGATCATACAAAATTATTTAAATGTTGGTATCTGTAGTCTGTTTGCTGAAACACTGTGCTAAACCACTGATAGAAAAAAAATAGTACTATGTAGTTATATGTGTAATATTTTATAGCATTAATGCGTATTTCTAATGTTTGAAACCTAGCACCTTGAGGCGACTGTTGTTGTGCTTTGGCGCTATATAAATAAAATTTTATTGAAAAATTGAATTGAATTGTCTGAAACCATAGATAATATCAAAAATGTTTTTTTAATCATGCCAAATCTATAACCTCAGTCAAAATGCAAAGTACTGAGAGGAGGCAACACACTCTTTTACTGACATTCTACCCCAGCACTAACTAGACTCCAATGAATGTAAAGAACACCATGTCCCAGATACTTTTTATTGGGTAATAAGGACAGTGAACAATGAAAACATGAGAAAGTTTGGATTTTTTTTAACACCATCAGAAAAGGGAACCTTGGACCTGCTATGCACACACCTGGTTTGAAGGTTTAAGAGTACAGAAAAGAAAAATACGTCTTATAGTAAACATTGGTCTCAACAATACCAATAATATTCCCATGAATTCATCTTTTTTTTCTTTTTCTTTTTAAATCAGACATAAATTAGCAATGTGTGGATCAAAGTTAAATAACATTAACACCCAGCTCAGGTGATGCTTCCATCATTTGGATCCATATCATATACAATATCTATATCTGTACAAGCTGACAAACTCAAGAAAATATGTGTCTCAAAACATATTAATGTAGGGCAAGTGTACAGAGCTTTAAGGAGGACATCACACTAAAAGAGAGATATGGTACCTGGAAAAAACTGTGTGCAGATCTTTTTTCAAGTGGCATATAAACCGTCACTCTATGAATTAAGTGGAAAATTAAATTATGTAAAGCAGTGTTTTAATGCTTCACTCTACAAAGGATGTTTAGCCAGCTAATAATATATTGCCTGTTGAAAGCACACTCCTGCTGCTGGATGAGTCGTCACATTGACGATGGTGTCTTCTTCAACTTTTTACGATGAGAGCTAAGAGGGTTTTCACATATCCTTAGGTAATGAAATGAGCTCTATCTATGGAACAGCACATAAACCCTGGGTCCTGGTAAAGATTAGAAATTTAACAAAGTGGGAGATGAAGATTTGAATATTTAATGTGAGACCTGAGCCTCACTCCTGAAAGTCAATGGAGATCAAAATTTGTTTTAGTTTAAGACATTCGGATGAGATGAGGTTTTGGAGGTAAATGCTTCCACACAGCAGACTTTTTTTTCCCTTCCAAAAGTAAGGAACCTTGAGTTAATACAGAAGACTGCTACATCGATATCTGAAATGTGACTAATAGGACTGCTGTGCATGTCCATGCCTGCTGTGCTGCTTGCTTGGAGCTCCGATGTCAATCATTCCAAGTAAAGAAAGAACATATTAATAAAAAAAATAAAAAAAACCTGCAATATATAAATACAGAATTCAGACAGCTCTGGTGGAAGAGGCAAGTGAAGGGTCAATTCTGGTCTGTCGAGTAATTTGACAGAGGGAAAAAGTGATAACTTGTGTATGATGTTGCCCTCAGGAGAAGAAACCTGCTAAGTGTTTTATGGAATGGAAGATTCGTGTTCAGTTTGTAAGTCACATAGGCAACAAAATGAACCGAGCCACAGAACTTGCAAATTTAGGATACATCAACACTGAAGTTTCAATTTTCTATTCCTGAGACATTTATAGCATATACAAGGCTTCCAGGACACATTGACACCACGTGGTCACCGGTGCTGATGTGCTTTAACTTGTTTGTAAAGACCGATTTATGCTTTCTCTGTCTGAGGTCCAGTGTTGGGTAATGTTACTTCTAAAAGTAACTTGTTATATTGCATAATTACAGCATTAACAACTGAAAACTAATTACCTTTAGAATATTTCTGCATTCAAAAAAATAAACCTTTCTATTTGAATTTAGTCTGGGTACACTAGTTATACATCTAGGAGTGTAATCTACTGTAACTCTGAATGTAGCTGATAGTGGCAGCTTGTGCTCTACCACATAACCAGAAACACACCTCATTTCCCTCAGAGTGACGGGTTATTGCAGGTGCTTCTTCAAAATGTGAACAGTAGTTCTCTAATGCCTCTGTGGTGTACTGGTTAACACCTTCACTTTACATGGAAGAGGAGCTACAAACACAGCCAGGGGGTCACAAGCTACTCCTAGTGCTGGTCCTCAGCTCGGATAAATCGGGTGTAAAATGTACTGCTTTGGGAATGAATAAGGGGCAGCTGAAAGTACCCAACTCTAATATGTGACTTTGCACTTTACAACACGATACACCCAACACTGCTGAAGGACTGATGTAGGGTTATATCTGTAGGCCATATAAAAGATGGATGAGTAAACATGAGGGGGCAAAGGCTGCGGGTCCATATGTACTCCTGGTCCTGTAACAGTGTATGGGAAAATACCTAGGTGAGGGCCGAGGGTCAAACACTTTCCTGATGAGTTTATGTTTTCAGTCACTCATTTTGGGTCATATTTAGTCCTAAGTTTGAGAAAGCAGGATTATCTGAGATATGCTCATTGATTAACAACAAGTTGGCAGCCAATAAGTGTGTGATTTGTCCGATCCACACCGCACACCCAGCTTTAAAACACCAAGATGAAGATGGCCAAAAAGCCTCATCTCGAGGCTTCAAAATGGGTGGCATGACTGACCGTGTCAATTTTTTATACAGGCTATGCTTGAACCAAAAATACCATAACTGATAGTTCTACTTTGTCCTCCCGACAGCAACAAAGAAAGGAGCCTGGTTCATTGTCTTTACTGGATGACATAAACAAGTCCAGAAACTTAAACTGTAGACGCCCGCATAAACAAGGAAAGCGGCCCAAACATCCAATGAAAGACATCAAAAATGAAATACTCGTAAATCACAAACGAACTGAATTGTCCTCAGAATTAGAGTTCATGCTGTCTGCACCGTGAAAAAGAAACACACTGTTGCTGTAAGTTCTGGATTTCCACAAAACTGTGAGCATGTTTGAGTACATTAAATGAGAGTATAACACGCCTAAAACGCAAACTCCCATAAAATCCTCCATTTGGTAGTTTTGCGTTCACACCTCCACCAGAATTGTCCTTTCCTCATGAAATCTCAGCCTGCACCAGCTTTAACAACACTTTTGAGCCAAACGGGCAGCAGAAACTGTTACCCAGGCCCGGACAGATGTGGTGTTGAGGCAACCTTTGGATCATGGGGCCTCCGTTTGCTTCCAAATGAACTCTGGTGGCAGCCTGTGCTGTGAAAGCAAACTGATTTCTATCAAGCCTATCTACTGAGCATCAATGCTAAAGAAAGCTGCAAGTCTAAACCCTTTGATATAACATGTTGTGCTTGTGTCCTAATCCATGTGAATCTGTATGCTTGATTAGAAAGTGGGTGTAACAAACCAGCTACACTGGAAATATACTCATCTTTCTCTCCATTGTGGGTACTGACATTCAGGATGCAGGATGACATTCAACAAAATAAAAAAAACCAGAAGCCCATTCCAGCAGACCAGAACTAAACGGCAACAATGAATCATATTGTTCCACTCATATCGGACAAAATGAACTGAACTACAAGCATGAAAGTGACCTTTTTTGAGAAATCAGGAAACTGGAAAAACCACCATCACTGTAGCTGTTGTAAAAGCCTTGAGTTTTATGCATTCTCCAAGAACTGAATTTATTTTAATGATAGCAAATTATTCCTCCTTTTTCACTGGAGCGCCTGGGAACCCCATAGGAGCCCTCAGGAGGTCCCCGATTCCACTTCTAGTAAGCCAACTCAGGCAGAGGCCACGTCCTGGGAGTCCTCCTTATTAGGCTGATAAATATCAGACAGCAAAGTGGCCGGAGTCCTTAGTTGCGGTTTGCTGTCGCTCTCAGTAGTATGTGCACCAGTTACTATAATCGCTGGGCATCAGTCCACCGGTGATAAGCAGAATTAGGTCTACAAACCACCAGATTCCCAGGCCTCCCAGAGTGAGCAGCTTCCCAACCGCAGTCCCTGTGTGGCCCAGGCAGAAACGATCAACCCCGAAACAGCCCAAGAAGAAGGAATACAGCAGTGTGGTGATGAAGTAGTGTCCAGTGTATCTGTAAAACACATGGCAAAAATTTAGATGAGTTGCAAAATGTATTTCATTTACACACCTGGACCTCAGCCAGGTTCCAAAGTTGGAAAGAGTTTAAATCGGCATCAGTTCACTTTATTTCAGATTGCAGCAAGTTACTGACATTTCACAGAGTCTGGTTACGACAATCTCATCCTTTGTGGATGCCCCATATAGCTCAAGAAGGTAATAAACAAACACATAAACAGATATATATTTTAATCATAATGATTAAACAAGCCACAAGATTAAAAAGAAAAGGTGTAGACAACCTGCAGTTGTGATCTACAAGGAGCGGACAGAATAAAAGAAACACCTGCTCTGTATTGTATAATTGGCGGACGGAGGCACGGGGGAAACTGAGCATTTGAGCCTGGTTTATCCGAAGCCTGGGAGGCAGCACAGTCTTTGTACAGGTGCTGCTTTGATTGTGCCCGTTCACTGCAAATGTCTGATGTCTATGCAGTTACTATAGAGATTAGCCTGATGTGCTCATGAATGCTGTGTGTGGTGTGAAGTTATGAGGGCAAAAAGAAGTTGTGATCCTATGGCTAAACATTGCCATCTAGTGGTGAGCCTACGCTTTGTCACTGTGGAAAAGGTCTTTAAAGCACAAATGCGTTCCTCTATAAAAGATCCATGAGAGCAACTTGATTTTGAATTGATAAAATCCTTCCTGTGGAGAAAATTACTGAAGAGGCAAGGTGGATCATATTCATTTTGAAAATAATGTATATATCAAGAAGTGACCATATCTGGGTGAGATTGTGGAGTTCTGACTAATAAGGTAATGAATATGTGCAGGATCCACAAACTACATAACATACAGAGACGTACAGCTGCTAATAGACTAGTACACCAATTTCACTGACCAAAACCACAGCACAAACATCTACCACAGAGCAGACCATGTTATTTGTCAGACAACACTACCACAACAACCAGCTGGTCTGTGCAAAGTCAGGCAGAGTGCACATGAGGAAATAAATAACTACACATATGTATCGATACATATTTGTAGTATCGGTCAGGCTCTGAAGCAAGGTTATTATTGTTAACGAAAACTAACGAAAACTAACGAAATAACGAAAACTAGAAGTGAAAAAACATTTTCGTTAACGGAAATAAAAATAAAAACAAAAACAAAAAAGGAAAACTAACTAAAACTGTAATGAGTGTTCACAAAACTAACTAAAATTAACTGAATTTATAGCAAAAATGTGTTTAGTTTTCGTAGATGTGTGTGTGTGTCATACAATAGTCAAGGGTGAAAATGAAGTTTAGTTTCCAGATTTTTTTCTTG